CTGAAGCTCTTTAATTAGGATACTAGTGAAGCTATCAACGTCATCTGTATTGTGGCAGTCTTCTAAACCTTGTTCTGCACGTGTGAGTGTACTGCGGGCCTTTTGGCTGAAGAGTTTTAGCGTCCTTCACTTGAGTTTCTACCTCTTGATTCAGAATTTTTATTATGGTGTCCTATGCTGTACGGAATGTATTTATGGTCCAAGTTAGACGGGGTATCATCGACCATCCAGGAATGCAATTTTAATGCAAAGGCTGCTGTTGTTAAAGTTAAATCTGGCCAATCCTGTCCGTGAATAGTTTCATATGTGGAGGCTGCCTGAGACATTATGCGAGATCTCACAGGCAATTGAGTCCTCTACCTGTCGTCCTCGAGCTTCAGTATCTGAGTAACCCCACAGTTCCGAGTGGGCATTGAAATCGCTGCTAGTGATGGGTGTTTGGACGCTTCAGTAATTAGCAAAACTGTCACCACAAGCGACTCATCGACAAGGTGGACGACCTTGTGAGAAGTGATCGGCGTGTGTGTCATATTGGAATGTGGCGGTGAAGGTGGATGTCAGCCATGGAACCGTGTGGACAATGTTCACGACAGGTTGCGATATGGAAGGTGTGTGCCACTTGGGTCCGAAGCAGCTCACCGACCAGCAAAGGAAATGGTATGGGGCCATTGCAACATCTGTTCGGTATTAAGAACCCGCTTCATGGAGCGGATCGTTCACAGGTGAGAGACTTGATGCTATCACTACGAGCCAGAGACAAAGGGGGACAGCATGCAGTGGAAGCATGCGTATCACCTCCCCTAAAAGTTCAAAGCCGTGCCGTCAGCAGGCAGGTGTTGTCACGTCTTTTTCGACGTTCAAGGTCAACTATTGTGGAATCCTCGAGCACAGAAATACATTAACTCCGATGTGTACTGTGAGACACTCCGACGCTTACGCAGTCCATCAGAACAAAAGCCGGGGACGCTCTGGAGGGTTGAGTTCTGCTCCATGATAACGCATGTCCACACGTCTCCAGTTCACAACATGGAACTGGCCAATTTCAAGTGGGAGACGTTGGACCACCGCCCTACAGTCGGAAATGTCGCCCTGCGATTCCATTGTTTGGTCCACTGAAGAAAAACTGAAAGAGAAGCGTTCAACTCGGACGACGTAATCAAGGACGATGGAAGGACTGTGTCTCGTCACGGCCAAGGAATTATGAGAAAAGAAATCCTGCGTTGTTATCAGAGGGTCTTTGTGTCAGGCCTATGCTGTATATTTTGAATAAAGTCTACATTTGTACCCACCGTGTCGTTTCATATCTTTTCATTTGATCACCCCTTAACATATTTTAGAGTCATTTAATCGGTCGTTTATTGATAAGTACCACACAAAAAAAATCGGAATAATAATTTAGATATCAATGAAAAAAATTGGAAAAATGTAATATCAAGGGCAGGAATAAAAAAATTAAAAAAAAATAGATAAAGCAATTTAGAGCCAAATTAATGGATTATGAAGATTAAAAATAACAAAAATTTGAAAAAAAAAAAAAAAAAAAAAAAAAAAAACCTCCAATAATAAGTATGGTTTTTAAGATTTCGAAGATCCTTTAACCGCCCCTCCCTGAAGTACAAAGGACAATTTTTTGATTCCGATACCAATAATTCTTGGTACTTACCAATAACAACATTCATCTTTAAAACAGACATCTTTGATGGAATTCGAAGATATGAATTAAATTTTAAAATGGCGCGGTAATGCTCAAATTTTCAGTAACCAATTAGGGAGCTGATTTCAGCTCGTTAAGGCACAAATATTCTATAAGCAATCAGAGAGCTGATTACGTCACGTCTAGAATTAAAATTATTCAAATAATCATACATAATGAAATCATTTTTTAAAATATGCAAAATTAAATTGTATTTTAATATTTAACAGCCATAAATAATGTTTAAAACATTAGATTAAATTTATAGATATTAAAACTAATTACTTTTAAAGTAAGGTGACAACCTTGATTACATCATCCACAACATAAAATTTCATAAAATATCATAAACAATAAAATTTTTAAGACACAATTACACGCCGAATAAATACTAATTCAGAAGACAAACAACAAAAATCAGCGTTATATTTACAAAATTTCCACAGGACTAGTTTCGATGGTTTTACCGAACCACCATCCTCAGCTGCAAAACCGCAAACCATCGAAACTAGTCTGTGGGAATTTTGTAAATATAACGCTGATTTTTTGTTGTTTGTCTTCTGAATTAATAAAATTTTTATTTCAAATAAAAATGCAAAATTAAATTAATTCTTAATATTTAGAAGCCATAAATAATATTTAAAGCACGGAATTTATGCATAATAAAACGCATTATTTTTTAAATAAAATTGGAACAAAGTATCGGTTACCATAAATAACTTATCCAGGAATGGGTATACCTTACTCGCCAAAAGAAAAATAGCCCAAAAAATTCGCCAAAATCCGTGCAATCGTCTACCAAAGTAGCACCAAAGTGTAATTATCAATAATGAGATCAAAATTAAGAGTGATATTGTTCCGCGTGAAAGCGCTTACAAATATTTAGTAGTTATTATTGATAAGCGGATTACCTTCACCTATCATGTGAAAGCAGTGGCAGATAAAGCAAATGCGGCTTTTTGTGCACTTTACAGCCTAATAGGCAAGAACTCTAAATTATCACTCAAAATCAAAAGAACTCTCTATATCACCTTAATAAGGCCTATCATGCTTTATGCCGTGCCGGCTTGAGCAACCGCCATTAAAACATTGCGTGCTAAACTTGATATTCTCCAGAATAAAATTCTACAATCCATAATGAAAGCTCCTTGGTATGTGAGAAATGCGGATATTCACCACGACCTATACGTGAAAGCCATGCACCAACAGATATTAATCTCGTCTCATAGTTTCTTCGAAAGTTTAAGTAACTCAGAATACGCCTCCCTCCGAAGTTTGTGTGACTGCGATCCTACAATTGAAAGCGTAGTAAAATGACCCCGTACAATACATCACAACTCATCTTGGTAACTGTAAATATGTAAATAGTTCATTTTTATTCGTATTTAATCAAGTATTTTGTATTCATGACTGTAAATTTAATGTTTAATTCCAAGATTTGAAGTGGAAATTGCGCTACTTTTTTCGTTGACACGCCCACATGGGCGTATCTGAGAATAAAGTTTTAACGTGTCTTCATATGATGTGACTTTTGAAGTGATTGCAAATTCTACAAAATTTAATGAACTGTGTGTTTTTGACCAAAGTCTGATTGAACTTTGACGTTTTGGTGCATGTTAAGGACATTACTGATTAATTGAACGCAGACTTAAACTGTTTTCCTATCCTGTGACAAAGTGCTCTCAATTCAGAATGCTTCTTCTTAAATAACTCCGCATTGATATCCAGCACAGACTGGATGCGACCATTTGTAAAAGATTGCTTTACAACTTAAGATCTATGGAAACTTTTGCTTCCCCACGACCAGATTACTCCAAACCTTACAGTTTTTGAATGCATTATACGCCTCTGGGTGATTAGATGTACCAATAGTACATCTTCTTTTTGATACAAACATGAAAGGCCTGAGGCATACTGCCCACCAGCGGTCGAGCGGTAAAGACGCTGAACACTGGTAGTTCGGTCCGAGGTTCGAATCCCGTGAACGGGCTGGCTGCATGGGCGTTTTCGTTGTTTTCCCCATGTGTAACGTGTATACGAGCCAGTTTCCCTTAGAAAGTCCTCCACGAAGGCATCCCTCCCTTTAGGCATATAGCCCTCGTGTGCTTTGCCATAATTAAAATAATCCAAATCCAAATCCTGAGGCATACTTTGATCTATTGGTGATAACTCACAGTAGTTGGTACCAAATGCGAGTGAAGGTAAAGGTAAAGGTTATAAATATGAACGAAATATTAAGTGAACCTAGCGCCAGAGTGTTGCTATGCTTAAGAAATATAGAGAATTTTAAAGAGAGCCTTTATTATATTGTGGTTTATGCGCTTTCGACGAAGTAGATTTAATTCAATCCAATAAGTTTAAATGGAATGCAAGAAAAAATGCGTATAATTTAATATTCCGTACCAGGAAGTCATATGGTGCACACATCAGATTTTTTGCATTGGGAATAATGCTATGACCAATAGTTGAAGAAATAAAAGTCGTATAAGGACATTCGTGAATAAGGTGCATATCAAGCACTGTGCCCTGATTTTCTTTCAACTGCATTGAGGACCTATGTGTACACAAACAGTTTTTACAGAGTTTTATCGTTTTTCATATTTTATGCATGAAGTATTCTTATTTTAGCTAATAAAATCAGCGTTAATTATTTTGTATTGAATTATTTGTTTAAATCTATATTTATCGCGTGTTGCCGCCCAGACAGTATTGTGGTTATGGGAGCCGACTGCAATATCGAAGGGTACGGGTTTGAAATCCGCAGAAGGCATGGATGTAAATTGTCTGCCCTCTTATACGAGGTAACGGTGGCCGCCTGTTGTGTGCCTCCACAGTAAAATAGTAATCACTTCTGGCCTTAGGAGTGGCCAGTGCTGAAAAAAATGTCAGTGTCCGCTATTCGAAAAAGAAGAAAAAAAAGTAATCTCGTGTTACACAGTGATATTTCAAGAATCGACTGTTTCGTCCTAATCTTCTCTGGAAAAGCGTATTTGCTCTGAAATAACACAAAACAGAATACGGTGTCATTTTCTTCCCGCTTTAAAGCGAGATATTATGTTCTCATCCAATAAATGTTTTTAAGATTTCTCTAATTACACCAGTCTTGTTCATTTTGCATGTAAATAACATATCTTCCTGGTCTTGTAAACCTGGTGAGCAGACAAATTATTACCCGGTGAGCAACGTTTTAGAAACTTTTCACTGGAATAAAATAGAAATGTTTCAGAAACTACATTAATTCTTAATTATTTCATGAAATTCTTTTCATTATACACAATTAATTATTATAATGGCGTTGTGTTCGCAGGATTTTCGGCTACACGCTTATGTAAGTTCAGCATGGAATGACTCCAGACTTGACCAGGTGGAAAATAAGCAGGTTTATCATCAATGTTTGAACAGCATTTGGACACCAGATCTTATATTTGAAGCTGCAAAGCAAACAAATTTGCTAAGCGCTGGCAAAAGTTACTTTCGAATTGAAGCCGATGGCTCCTTGTATCTGAGCCACAGGTTAGTAGTAAATCTTTATGTAATAAATAAAATTGAAATTCTGCGATATTTGCTTGACCTTAACTGTATAATCAATATCTATATAACGCACGCATTTAATTAATCTTTAGTGAAAAGGTGAAAATATACTATTATAAAAATAATTACTTATAAATTTAGAAGAATTGAATGCACACAGAACCGATGGTAATTCATACAACTCTTCTCAGTATGGCAGAGAAAAATCAGTAGTTACCACTTCAAACTACTAAGAACGTTAAACACAACTAATGCAAAGTGCATCTAAAGAGCGAAACTTGCAAAGAGATCTCTCAGTAAACTAAGAACCAATCCTCTCTTATATAGTTTTCTTCAATCTCAATTTCTCGAAAGTTCTGAAAAACATACACAGTTACAATTAAATAGAGGCCGTAATAGTTAAATAGTAATAAAGAAAGTTACAGAGTGATCGGACCAAAAAATGTCACCGAATTCTCGTCATTTCGTGATTTTTCGTTAAATATAGTGACAAAAATTAGTCTCGAAAACCATCGCCAGTGGCTAGTTACCTCAATGTTAAATAGACTTACCTCTGTAACCTTATTTTTCTATCGAAATTTCAACCTCTTGAGGTATTTTATGTTACATCAGCTTTACATATAATTTCATAATATAGTAAGTAGAAATAAAATGTCAGTATTTCACCTTTCAATGTTTGCATATTCACTAAATGATTTAAACCTCAACGTATGAATGCCATAAAATATTGTTGCGTGTATACGAGTTCGTAATGGATTGAATGCGCAAGTCCGATGAAAAGTGAATAAAATTTATTCTTATTCCAAGAAATAAACAAAATGCTGAATGAAATTTCTTCAGAGATATTCTTTTCAATATCACAATATCTCACAGTAGTTATATTTTAAACTATTAAAACTTTAAACAGAATCCAATTCAAAAGCAGAGAAAGCTAATCCGATTTCACCGCTAATTCGCTACAGTAAACAACAGCAGTTTTCTGAATAAACTGAATTGAGATATTTTGATCCCGCTTTTATAAGCTTTTTAATCGTACATGACAACATTCTCGTATTTTCTCGATTTTACTGGATAGCAAAAGTGTGCAATTACGAGATATCTATTTAAATGTTAAATGCGCGTGCTCCTGTATTTTAACTTTTCCGGCGTAGCTTTCTCTTCGAATAAGTCTCGTGAAGCATTGCACGGGGATATAAAACAATTTTAATTTCAATTCTACCAAAAAATAGCTAACTAAATACAAAAACCATAACAATATGATAGAATACCAGATAATATTTATTATTTATTAATTGTTCTGAAATATTTTACTATCAAGAAAATAAATGTCAGCGTATCAAATAATGTTTGATAGTTTGCTAAGTGGCTCTGAATTTTTAATTATAAATGCTACCTAAAAATTTATTTTGACAGCTTAATTCCCAGTGACGTTTCTTGTCACCCGCATCGTGATACTGCTGAAATTTCCTTCATTGCAATGTATAAAAATGCATGTTCTTTCTCTTTTTCTTTTCTAGCAAGGCGAAAGCCGATTCAAGTAATTCAGAAGCCGTAGAACTAAACCTTGCAACTTATCTACAAATCGAAAATTTTATTGTCGAGCCGATTAAGAAGTTGGAATATTAAACGTAAGAAGACAAGCATGAAATTTTGGGATGTCACCGTAAGAAACAAAAAGGATTTGACGTATCTGGAATTGAAGAGATTTCAGGAGGTGTTCACGGAGAAGGAATACAAAGCTGATATAATATCTAACCAAAAAATTCATTTGGAATATGTTCAGAGGAACTGAAAAAACAGTAATGTTTTAATTCTAGAGCCGAAAGGTTTACTAAAATATCTACAGCTGTATAAAAAGTTAATATATTTATGAATATAAGAAATTAATAGATAGGTTTAAACATCCCTTGGTGAGTATTTTAAGAACTAAAGCAGATCACAATGGTAAAAACCGAAAACAATATTCAGTGCCTGCTATCTCTAGCATAGCTTACATGAATATTCATATTTAGTGTTCCTCAGGCCGCAGTTCTAGGACGAACTGCATCTTTATCACCATCCTTTACCTAAAGGTATTTATCTTTATTATTACTGTGCTATATATATATCAAATATTGTTCAAAGTTGAGCGTACTGCTGAGGGAAAATTCGATTTTTACAAACTTCAGGAACCTAATGTTTTCACAAGCAGAATACTATTTATAGTTCTAAAAGGTCTGTCAGTATTAATTAAAACAGAGAAAGTAAAAGGGAGATATTAGTAATTGACAGTGAAAATAATAGCAAACTATTAATTGATCAAGTTAAATTTATTTAAGCTTGCTATTTTATGGCCACGCATTCTATTTCCTGTTGATCTATGCATGTGATGGGGCTAAGACCAGTTTGCCTTAAGAGCCTGTTTGCGTTTCAATCTTATAGTTCTATTTTGAGTTACGACCAAAAGTATTGGCTGTGTTGTGAGCATCAGCAATATCGACTGTAAATCCTTTCTTGAGTTAAATAAAAGGATCTTTTCACACTTCATGCATATTATCATTGATACAGTGTAAACTTAGGGAATAGTCATTCATAATTCAAGTAAAGATCTAGCTAAAAAAGTAACTTTAATTTAGTTAGAATCTTAACATTTGGCGCCCGAAAAATTTACAAGCCATGTCACATGAGAGGCGAAAATTTACTTTGGCTCCTCGACGTCGAGACAGTGCCGGCTGCTATAAAATCCTTCATATTATATAATGTTCTGGAAATGCAAAATCTTACAATTGCTACGACAAATTTTAAAGGCCAAGCTTTAAGCTGGTATAAAGGAATAGACAACTGCCTGCTAAGCAAACCAGAAAGTGGCACCTGCACCTGGAAAATGCTTAAAAATGCATTCATAAAAGCATTCCCAATGGTAAAGGACCGAGCTAAATTAGAGACTGAACTTTTCAGCAAATATCAGAATTATGTCCAGGAGTTGGCCGAATTTATTTTGATGTGGTGTAGTGTTAATGATTCAACGGTGTGGTGTGGTACTCCAATGAAAACTCTAATGATGGAACACCACATGAAAATTTTATTGAACGCCCAAAAAATGGCTACATACAATCAACAAGAGAAAAACCTAAATCTCTTTCTTAAAATCAAATTCTATACATTTTACGTGCGAGAACAATACGTGGCTCCCGAGCCTGCATTATTGCAAACATTTGCAACATTGCAAACAATTTAATTATTTTAATAACAACTATTTTAACAACTATTAAAAACGTATTCGGAAGTTAAATAATAATAATTTTCATCTTATGCTCACGAGACATCCTTGTCCATATTAATCTTCAGTTTCTTCTTCCTTTATGCGACCTTATCACATTGAGAAAAATTCAGATATTCAGTATGTTGTACGGCAAGAAATCAGTCGCCGGGGTGATTGAACTCATTGTACTGCTGCTGCTTTCTCCAATTCAGTACATTTTTAAGGTGAGAAACCCTACAACGCTCGAAAATTTATTTCAGTTAGCAGTTAAGTTCAATAGCGAGTGACGGAAAGTATGCTTACGGTGGGATATGCGCAGAGGGCCGCCTGGACTTTTTTCAGATCTCCACACCAGAAAAAACGACAGATTAACCAGAATAGACAATATCCTTACCGTCAAACAGATGCAACCGCAAGGTCGCTGGTAAAAGTAGTGGTTAGAAAAGGAAACGATTAGGCGATTGCCAGAGGAAGTCTGAAGGGAACAAAAACAAGGGGCAGAGAAACAGAATTTAAACTAATTCGGAGGATCGATGTTAAAAGAGTACGGTTAACCTGAGGCAATCTACAATTAAATTAAATACAGTGCTATATCGCTCTGCCGGAAATGTAAATTTTGTTAAATAACATGCCAGCTACTGCTTTGTTAGACTCTGAGGCCCAGTGCAGCTTTTGGTCGTAAGACTTCTTTAAGAGAAATTTTAAGAGATATTGCGTGTTTAAAATGAGGGGACAGAAGAAGGAGAAGCAATGAATACGCCATCTGGCTGTGCAAATTGAAAAAGCGAGTTAAAAACGCAAAAATCACAAAACGAAAATTAAAAACGAAGAACGAGGAAGTATGCTTACTACGAGGAAGAGAGTTACTTCCTCGTAGTAAAATATTTATTAGGCATGTAATATTAAGAATTGTTTTTTCACGCGCAGCGGGAAGCATTTTCAGGATGCGACATTGCAGGAAATCTAAGTGCCAGAAGTAGAACTCGGCCATCTGCCGAAAGAAGAGAAAGCTAAACTTGGAAGCTTTGGCAACAACATTGTTACAACTATTCGATTCCAAGTCGGGCTACACTCAAATTGTGAGCCATAAAATAGATACAAGAAACACTCTCCTTTATAAGAGCTAAGCCCTATAGATATGATAAAATTAAGGAGGGAATAATCGAAAAACATGTTAAGGAAATGTTAGGAAATAAAATTATAATCCCCACAAACAGTCTATATGGGAGTCGTGTAGTATTTATGCCTTCGGACCATAAATTATGACGATTTGCTGGCGGATGATCGTAAATTCAATAGTATTACTAAATATCTAATATACCCGTTGTCAATAACAGAAGAAATTATACGGAAAATAAAATGCATAAAAACTTTAGATTTAACTTTTTCAAATAGGTGTAAAGCCCGAGAACATCCAGAAAACGTCTTTCATCACTAAATCAGGCGTAAATGTCTTAAGGATGCCATTTGGACTACGCGGATCTCTGGCAACATTCCAAAGGAATTATCTTTTAAGGCCCGTTTATATACTTTTACTTAAGGCCATATTTACTTAAGGCCAAGCATTTATATACTTGGCCGATACAATTATTTCTAGTGAAACAATTGACGAATATATAGAACACTTAAGTATTTTCATCGTTATATGAAGCTGGACTCACAATAAGCATTTAGAAGGGTAAATTCGCCACAAAAGAATTTCATTACGTAGGGTATAAAATTTCCCAAAAAAGGTATTGAA